AGTTTTGACCCAGAAAGCGAAATTTGAATATCAGACACTTAGGTGCAAGATTATGCCAAAATTCCATGTTTTCCGTCCCGTTTTTGCTCATATCTCGGCGGCAACATGAGCAAGAACGCTCATTTGTACATCATTCTAGAGAGAAATAAATGGCCTTTTTAGAAAGTGAACCATTGATATGAAAATGTTGGCAGATTTCTCAAAAAATGTTTTAATTCAAGAAGTTTTAGATTTGCGTGGGTTTTTTTTGAGTTGCAAAATCCACTTGAACATGACGCTGCTTTTTTCAAAGTTTCTCAAGAACCATTCGAGCCACATAATTCGTTTTGGCATCGTTGGATAGAAAATTGAAAAGCCGATTCAGTCGTAACAACGTGAGTCAGGAAATTCGGGTAGTTTTGACCCAGAAAGCGAAATTTAAACATTAGACACTTAGGTGCAAGATTATGCCAAAATTCCATGTTTTCCGTCCCGTTTTTACTCATATCGCGAAGGCAAAATGAGCAAGAACGCTCATTTGTACATCATTCTAGAGATAAATAAATGGCTTTTTTTAAAAGTGAACCATGGATGGGAAAATGTTGGCAGTTTTCTCATAAAATGTTTGAATTCAAGAAGTTTTAGATTTGCCTGTTTTTTTTTCAGGTGTAAAATCCACTTGGCCATGACCCCCATGCCCCCCCCTGGATTCGCCCTTGCAGCAGATATTGATAAATTGACGATTTTTTGCAAATTTACTGCCCGAAACTTACTTACCTTGTTGGTGGAATAATAATTCATGCCAAGCGGCATAAAAACCTCTTGGAAATTATTAATAGCTTGCGAAATAAGAAGCATCGTCTGCAGCTGACTTCTCAGCATATCTATGTCTTGGATGACAAAGGCGATGTAGAATAGCGAAAGGAAGTTGTTCACAAATTCGAAGAGAACGAGTTTTGTTACTCGGTGCCGCTCGAATTGAGACTGAGTCCGATGGTTTTCTGGAACAAAACCCCGCATGAATGGAAAAGCGTTTCAATTCATCTCTCCCCCAAGTCTGCATTCGACGCTTTTCAGTTAACAGTAGTAAAGAGTTATTAATTCTTCCCTGGATCAGTCGTTACATTCCGTCGATTTGAGCAGATGAGAGTGCTTTTGGCTGACATTTTTTCAACCAAACCCAAGCCAAGAAACCAGCAATTTCAATCAAAATAACATTAATCAGCAAGTCTTCGAGCCAGACACACTTTTATCCAGGGGATCTTAAGAACTGAAACACGCGACCCATTTATTAGCTAAATACTCACCCCATTCGGTCAAAAAAGAGGCAAAATCCTTAAAATACGCACTAATAACGGTGACTAGAATGGAGTAGACAATGCTGGGGATCATGACCAGATAGTCTTCAGGGGAGAAAAGCTCCTTCATGTAGTCTTCGGCCCAAAACGAGATCAACATTAAGTAAAAGGCCAAAATCATGCAGATTATCACAATGGGCAGTGAGACTGCATACATCTGCGAAACAAGCAACGAAACTCAACTTTAACGGATGGGTTTATGGCTTTTTACCTTCACGTATGTCATAAAGCGAGGACTTTGGGGGCACACTTTTCCAGTAACCGCATCCACTCCCATGAAGCCTCGGAATCCTGGCCTGGGCTCATCCAGGCTGGTCATTCCGATTGTGCCCCATTTGAAAGCGAGTTCGTTAGATTTGCGTTTCCAAACCTAAAAAAAAAAACACCGAGAAAGAAACCAGAATTTACGCAAAATTTACTAAGAGCTCACCTCCAAAAACAGTGTCACCCAAATAACATTGAAAATACAAAAAAACGGAACAGTTTCAGTGAAAATATATCCGAATAATCCCAGTACCGATGGAACAACCAAAGCCAACGTGTAGTACTCCAAAAAGGCAAAATAGAGCGCTATGGATTCTCCAAAATATTCCTTAATATCACCTAGAAAGGGAAAAAAACGGGACATCGCTATGCATACTGAAGAAGGCTTATATAAGGAACCCTCCCCTACTCGCATTTATTATTTTCGCTAACACTTCAGTAATGGATTTTCTAAATCCAATAGCTTTTTTCGCCCGGCTTTCGAGCCCGAATCCATCAAACGTGGCGTTAATAATCCGATAAGCTATTCAAAACTGAGAAATAATCGAAATTTGTACCTCTCGCCTAATTTCCATAAACATCCCCGGTGTGATCGGCACGCCCCAACCATTTTACGTCGAATATTTCAATTAAAATCTCCATTACATGCGAGGAAATTGTGCGAAAAAATCGGTTGCAACGAGTAAACAGTGTTGTCCGGTGAAATGTGCAGTTTGCTTTTTCAATCAGCCGAAATTTGTATTCAGATCTGGGGTTTGTTCGATGGTTGTTTCATTCGATATTAACAAAAGTTTTTACGGTTTCGAAGCAAATTTGAAATGTTCGGTTCGCTGTTGACTGTCGGAATGTGCGGAAATTACTATTGAGATCTCGGGTTTGTTTGATGTTTTCTTCATTCGATAGTTTAAAAATATCTTTAGGGTTACGAGAATATCGAACGAAATAACGACTAATCAAACCTCCATATCTGCATATTCACCTTGACTGATTCAAATGCTTAACGCACCTTTCGGTAAACGCCGGTTCTTTCGTATGATATTTTCAAAAGTTCTTCATTTAGGGCTTCGAAGAAAATTGACTTCTTCAGCTCGCTGGCGAAGCGCCAAAATACATATTTTTTTGAAACCCTAAGAACTTTTGAAAACATCGAACGAAAGAACCATAAAACAAACCCCAGATCTGAATACTTCTTTGGTCCGAATGAAAAACCAAATGCGCACGTTCAAGAGCTGTTAACAATCCATAAAAAATGATATATAATAAACTCCAACTACCTCAAGTGCATCAGGTTGCAGTTAAGCCATAAAAAAGCTGGGCTTAAACATGGAAGTGCCTTATTGAAATATGCAGCCAGCATTGGATTAAACAGGGAAGATTTAATAGTAGCTGGGGAGTTTCGATTTAAAACCCCCCCATACTGGACCGGCAATAACAGTTTAAATAAGCGTGCTAATATCCCCTAAATCTAGTTGGAAATATAAACGGTCTAAGCTGTTCAGATCAGTGGATACTGAGAATTTGTGGTAAATAGGGCCGAAATGATTTTGCATATTTGCGGTGCAGTGCTAAATGGGCAAATAAATTGTCTACATTCGGCCCTTTGGTTTACATGCCGGCTCCAAAGGCCCTATAAAAAATAATCCCGTTACGGCAAAATTAAGCTTAAACGGTACGTAAATGTTGAAACACTTTTCATGATTCGCCGAATTCTTCGTACATGCGACCGGCCGATTTTAATAAGGGTTTTAATTGGAATACCACTGGCCTCCGCGCTTATGAGACTGGAAATTTTGAGCGGCAGCTCGCAAAATTCAATTATATCTGAATTTTGGACGGGTTATCGAATTATTAACGCCATATTTTGTGAATCCATGTTCGGAACGGGGCGCCGAAACATTTTTAATCGAAACCCATCATCGGCTATCAATCTCGTCCAGCCATTCATTTAGGCATTGATTATCAGCCAATCCATCAAGCTGAGAGGCTTACCAATCGGTTGTTTGAACCATCTGGGCATATACCAAGAGCCTGCCAATTTTTTCAATTCCTCATCGTCATGCAATGGATAGATTTTCGTTATTAATTGCTTGTTATGTGCTAGAGGCACTATGGATTGGTTCTCGTGCAGCTTAAAGAGTGGATACCCTGAAAATTGTTCCGCTGTTTTAGCTTTGTACTATCAGGGCCATTTTTTAAATATACTGGGTGTAGTTCAATTTTTGAGCGCAAAAATCAACGAGGAAAGAGATGTTAGAGGAATAAGTAGAAATGTGCTCTAAAGCGCTTCGTTTGTGAGATACAGAGTGTTGGACTTGGTTTTTTTGGTCTCAGTCTTGCAGTTTTTTTCTAAATATTTAGCATAATTCGAACGCAGTCTGCTTTTAGCGGTCTACATTGTTCAATGTGTCAAAAAGTTGGAAAATGTACTCGGGTGTATTTCTTAGTGTGCCATGACACTTTTTACCCTCTTAAGATTTTGGTTGGTGCGACACTGAAGTCCTGCTTTTTTGTTGCGATTTCCTGTTCTATTTAGAAAGTTTTTTGCCCTCTGAAGTTTTTTCGTATCTGTGGCGGTTTTCGAGTTATTAGGAAGAGTTGCTTATTTGTTCGCGTTTGCTCAGCTCATTGATTTTCCCCCCAAAAAAATTGTACACTCTGTATTATCGAAACTGGCGGTAGAAAACAATTTCTTCCTAACAAACTTTGTTGTCTTTTGCACTTTTTCGCATCTGTCACGGTTTTCGAGTTATGAGGAAAAAAGCTACTTATTTGTTCCAGTTCGTTCACCTGTTTCATTTACCCAAATTAAAACCGAACACCCTGTAGTATTGAAACTAGAGAGAGTCGTAGAAATGTATTTATTATCTTCCTTCTTCCTGAATTTTAATTTATTAAATATTTGTTGTCTTTTGGACTTTTTTCGAATTTGTCACACTAATTTGTGTGAGTTTATCACTTGTATTATTTAAACTCGAAAAACTGAGACAGAAAGGTGATTTACTCGAAAGCTTTCACTGAATTTTTCTTGTTAACTTTGTCCTCTGTTTGAGGATGCAAGCAACTCCTGCTTGCGAAACGTTTTCGTCTACATTTCCTAAACAGACGAAAATCTGGGGAAAAATGCGAACTTTTGCAACAGGCTCTGCATTTCGTACAAACCTGGAATAAATTTCTCATACTCTAAAGCTCTGATGTTTTCCAATTCGTGTAAGACAATAGTTTGTCGATCAGCAATCGTGAGCAAATCGTCTATCGTAGTGCCATCTATTAGGAAATCGTCGAGTGACGCTACTGTAAATTCCCTGGGCCGCCCGCGAGGATCCGGTTTTACCAGATCGATGTCTTCCGCAATCTCCAAAAGCTTGATTTTGGTGGCGGAAATATGGAAAGTGTATTCCTGCAAAAATCCAGCCCGATTGTAGACTAGAGAGTTTCAAAAGTTTTTCTTCGTACTTCTTCCGCATTGGTCTTCGGCTGCAAAATGGCGACCAATTCGCCACCGCCGTCGCTTTTTTTGGCCCGGATTTTGGTCGCCAGCCATTGCAAAGCTTTTTCATGAATATCGGGCACAACTTTCATAACAACATATGTTGGCGGCAGTTCCGTTGCTCGTTCTTCCGGTTCCAAACCGGAAATCGACTCGATATCCGCCCGTTGTCTTTTCGACATTTCGACAGAGGTTTTTCGTTTCCGGTCGGAGTCAGCTATCTGGTCAGATTGATTGCTTTAAAACTTCATTTTGTATCGGGTGGGGAATTTTTTATTGCCTTTTTTTAATAAGCATTAATTTTCAGGGGTTTCAGTTTCTGAGGTGTTAAGGTCTTCTACAGTATGTGGTTGAATACGTAAAATTGAGCTTTTTCTGCCCAAAAATCCAAAAAATCGTGCAATCTGGACGAAAAGATGGAAACGAAAATCCTGGATCTTGGACACATTATCGACAAACTTTTGCGTTATCGATCCTCTAGTCCCGGTCTCGTTTCATAATTCATCCAGCAGGCTGTTTGGAAGAACCTGAACCCTTACGGGAACAGAGTTGAATCGATTGACCTCATCAAAAAGTGTTTTGCTTATTTTCCCTCTATCGTATCAGTGAAACAAATCACATCCAATTTACTTACTTGATGCTACCAGTTGCAATAAACATCTACTGGGCCTTCTTATCACAGTTGGCTATAAATAAGTACGCGAAACACAAACGACATTAATCAAGTAACCAAGACAAGGCGATTAAAAATAAATCTGAATTCATTTGAAAATTGCGAATCCGCAGCTGAAACCCGCAGAAATTCAATAGAATATAAAGTAAAATTAACCGAGAGTGAGGTTAGATTAAAGTGTCAACACTACTTAAGTTTCGTCAGTAGTCAGCAGTAGCATCTAGCTGACTTGATTTTTTTCTGTTGATCATTAGCTGAGCTTGAAACGATTTTCTGTCGCTCTGGTTGATGGAGAAAGGCAAATGTATTGAGGAAAAAGAGGTCAGACTGTTCAGTTTGTGCAGTTCATTCATAGATGCCAGCTGGTCTGAGCAAAGGCGACGAAAAGCTAAGAAATGGCGAATTTCAGTCGCCATTTCGTATAAAGGTGTGAAACTTGAAAAATTTTCAAGACAACGACCATGAACTTAAATCGCACTTGATATACATGTATTATCTGGAGCTTTGAATTTTGAGCCACAAAATTATCTTTGAACGGAAAGAACTAACAATTATTGAGAAAATGACGGAAATGAGACATTTTCAGGTTAATTTTATGGAATCACCCTGTATATATGAGCCAGGATACATTTACGGGATTTGTGAGTTTTCAGGAGAAAGTTAGTAGGAACAGGCACTATTAAAAAAGGAGCAAAAAGCATTAATGTCCTTAAAAAAAGATAAAACAATCAAAATTTTGCCTGCTGATAAAGGTAATGCGACCGTCATCATGGATTATAATATCTATGATCAAAAAATT